TTGGCTTTGTACCTCCCTTCCTCTTTCTCCAGCATCCTTCTCTTCTCCCCTCCAGGCACCTGTGCTTAGCAATTTGGGTTACATCCTTCTAGAACAGCGGTTCTCAACCTTCCTAATGCCGCGACCCTTTAATACAGTTCCTCATGTTGTGGTGACCCCCCACCCATAAAATTATTTTCGTTGCTACTTCATAACTGTAATTTTGCTACTGTTATGAATCGTAATGTAAATATCTGATATGCAGGATGTATTTTCATTGTTACAAATTGAACATAATTAAAGCATAGTGATTAATCACAAAAACAATATGTAATTACATATGTGTTTTCCGATGGTCTTAGGCAACCCCTGTGAAAGGGTCGTTTGACCACCAAAGGGGTTGCGACCCACAGGTTGAGAACCGCTGTTCTAGAACTGCAGTCGATGTGGTGCACTAGTTATATGTGGCTATTTAAATTGAGGGAATAACATTTAAATTTTACATTTTCAGTACTCAGTAGTCTCATGTGGCTAAGTGGCTGCTCTCTGACAAGGCAGATATAGAACATTTCCATCATTGCAGACATGCGTGGAGGATGCTGCTCTGGGCCAGGGTCTCAAATCGGGGTGATTGACATTTGGGGCTGGATCATCTCTGTGTGGTGCTGCCTTGTGTGTTGGAGGATGTTTAGCAGCATCCCTGGCCTCCACCCACTAGATGCCAGTAGTACCTCCCTTTCCTGCACCTGCATTTGGGATAACCAAGCAGCCCTCTAGACATTGCCAACTGTCCCTGGGGGTCAGAATTTATCCTCGGGCGAGGGGGTGAGGGGGGAGGAACTCACCCCCCCTCCCCGACCCCCAATGCTGTAGACTATTTTTCCCACATTGCTCTCAATTTTTTTTTTTAAAGAATTACAATTCTTTTTTTTTTAATATATTTTATTGATTTTTTACAGAGAGGAAGGGAGAGAGATAGAGAGCCAGAAACATCGATGAGAGAGAAACATCGATCAGCCGCCTCCTGCACACCCCCCACTGGGGATGTGCCCGCAACCAAGGTACATGCCCTTGACCGGAATCGAACCTGGGACCTTTCAGTCCACAGGTCGACGCTCTATCCACTGAGCCAAACCGGTCTTGGCGCTCTCAATTTTTCTTCCTGGGTCTTCCCAGTGTCAACATTGAGATGGTCACTTCCTGGACCCTGGCTTCCGGCAAGGTTGGTGCGTCACGCAGCAGCTCAGCAAATATTTACTGAATGGGTGCCGATCGCCGGCACCGAGAGCAGGCGGGATCCTTCTCCTGAGGCCGGCTCCTGGCTGCAGTAGTCACCTTTCCAGAAACACGGTTGCCTGGGCACTTCCCCCTGTAATATTTGCTTTTCCTTTGCTGTCGGCCCGGCCGTGTGCAACCACTGCACATCAGCGGTCATAACCTTTGTTTGTTCTAGAGTCAATTTATAAGAAAAATCTACTTTGGCTTTTCTTTGTTTAAATGGTCTAAGCTGAAAGCAGTGCAGACTAAGTTATCTCTAGCCTTACATCTTTTAAATTTTTATTTTGTTATATTTTTATTGATTTCAGAGGAAAGGAGAGGAAGAGAGAGATAGAAACATCAATGATGAGAGAGAATCATGGATCGGCTGCCTCCTGCATGCCCCACACGGGGGATTGAGCCCGCAACCCAGGCATGAGCCCTGACCGGGAATGGAACGGTGACCTCCTGGTTCATAGGTCAGTGCTGAGCCCGGGGCCTAGTCTTACATCTTAACCTAGTTGAATAGCTGTTGATACTAACAGGTGAGAAAATTGTTTCATGTTTTTTTTTTAAATCTAGAAAAATAACTCGAGAAGTAATATCTACTGTTTTAAAAAATATATTTATTTATTGATTGATTGATTTTAGAGAGAGGGGGAGAGAGAGAGAGAGAGAGAGAGAGAGAGAGAGAGAGAGAAAGAGAGAGAAAGAGAGAAACATTGATTTGTTCCACTTTTTTTATGCCTTCATTGGTTGATTCTTGTATGTGCCCAGACCAGGGATCCAACCTGCAGCCTTTTGGGCTGATGCTCCAACCAATTGAGCTACCTGGCCAGGGCTCAATATCTGCTATTAATTGAATGCCTGTTATGTGCTAGGTCCTGTCCTGTCCCTTTTCTGTATAAAATCTTTATCCTCATAGTAATTCAGCAAGGCAGGTCGTATCTTTTTACAGGGAGGGAAAGTGGGCTCACAGATGAGTAGCTGGGAGGCACACAGCCGGTGTGGAGCAGGGCTGGGATGTGTTCCTAACGCTGTCCATGTGGTCCTGCTGTGTTGAAACAGTGGCTCTCGCCTGTCACTGCTTTTTCAGCCTCTCCATTAATTCTCCCTCTTAGGGATTCTGCGGTGCAGCCATGTCCCCAGGCTGCCTGGGGTGTGGGGTGGGAGTTACTTTGCCCTGGCATGTGACAGACAGCTCCCTTTGGTATTAGGAAATAGCAGTAGCAGTCCACGACACCAGGTGACAGCTGTCACAACATAGCTCTGGGTGCCTTCCTCCCAGACCTTGGAGGGGGAGGGGCCTGAGGTCCACCCACTAGGCAGACGTGGTCTGGCGGCGGCCTGGAGGGGAAGGGCTAGAGCTTTGCAGGTTATAAATCCAGAAGTTGAGAAGGAGCCTCGCTACCACCTCTTCTGTTTGGACGGGCCGAGGGAAACTTGGTCACTTGTAAGTCTGCCACCACGCCCAGGGCTTCTGCTGCAGGACATTAGTTCCCAAGATATGTTTCCAGACGCTGCAGTGATAGAGTAATTCACATTGAGACTTGTAGGAAGACACCCACTTCCTTTTCCAGTTTTCCGTCAGTATTGCTCACCCTGGCAGGGCCCCCTTTTTAACAGCAGACCCTGCTGGTGTCTTCGTGCTACAGGGAGGAGAAGCAGCCAGTGGGCCGGGCCGCCGCTTCAGGCATAGCCGCTGTGTCCAGGGGGAGTCTAGCGGGACTTGTTAGCTTCTCATTGCGTTGATCATTGCATTGATTTTGGTATTGGCCTTCTTTGTCTGACAGAGTGTGATGCTGGTTTTCCATTTATGACTGGTTTTCCATTTATGATAGTGACATGAAGTTACCTCTTAAAATACATTTATGTAAATGGAGTTCTGACCGGGCCATCCTCTGTCGTGGGGCCCGTCCTGTAAGTTGGAGGACGTTGAGCAGCATCCTGGCCTGCTCTGCCTACTACCTACCAGTGGCTCACCTCCACCCCTGGTTGAGAATCACTGATGTAAGGTATGCAAAATCGTGAATTTAGACAATAGAGGTAGTTGGATATTGCAGAAATCCTGTGTATGAAAATGGCTAAAGTTTGGGAATCTGCTTAGGAAATTTCCTTCAATGTCCTCGTCTGTCTTCTTTGGCACCGACATCGGTTCAGTAGTCAGGTGGACGGCCTGGCCGGTGTGGCTCAGTTGGTTGGAGCATTGTCCCCCGGACCACAGGTTTGATTCTCCGTCAGGACACATACCTAGGTTGTGGGTTCGATCTCTGGTTGGGGCGTGTTCGAGAGGCAGCCGATCGGTGTTTCTCTCTCACATCTATGTTTTTCTCTCTCCCCTTTCCTCCCTTTCTAAAAATAAAAAGTAAAAAAGTCAGGTGGGGAGGTGTCTTGAAAGGGGAGAGAGAAAGCAACGCTGTCCAGGAGAACTTCCTGTCATGCTGGAATGCTCTGTGTGCTGCTATGAACATAGGGGTGCATACATTCTTTCTGATTGGTGCTTCGGGTTTCTTAGGATGTATTCCTAGAAGTGGGATCACTGGGTCAAATGGCAGTTCCATATTTAATTTTTTGAGGAAACTCCATACTGTTTTCCACAGTGGCCGCACCAGTCTGCATTCCCACCAGCAGTGCACGAGGGTTCCCTTTTCTCCGCATCCTCGCCCAGCGGGAACTCTTAAGAAGCTTAGATCTCAGACACATAAATCCATTGGGGATACATCTTTAAGGAGGGCCCGGCCATGTGGCAGACAGGACCGTCAGATGGGAGGTTTGGCGTAGTGGTTAACAGGTGCCCAACTGGCTTGAGCAAAGTAAAATAAAACAAAACGAATTCACTGGTTCCTAAGACAGAGAGCCCAGGGAATGGACAGACCACCAAGGAGATTTTCTGCCTGTGTAAGTCTGTATCTACATCCCTCTCAGCTCCTTCCTTTTCTTTTTTTTTTAAAATATGTTTTTATTGATTTTAGAGAGAGGAAGGGAGAGCTGCCTCCTGCCTGTCCCTTACGGTGGATGGAGCCCGAAATCCAGGCTTGTGCCTTGACCGGGAATCGAACCAGCAACCTCTCGGTGCTTGAGACAGTGTTCAACCAACTGAGTCACACAGGCCGGGGCTCCTGGCTTTTCAATTTATTGTATCTCTCAGTAAGGCCACCCGGCCCATGCAGCTCTCGGTCTTCAAAGATTGTTGGGATTCCATTTTGTGGACATTCCCTGTTCATTTAACAGCCAGGTTTGATGACCGGTCAGGTTTGATGACCGGTCAGGTTTGATGACCAGTCAGGTTTACTGATGACCAGTCTTTTGCCTCCACAGTGCAGGCCACACTGTCCTGCTGCTTTGGGCACGTGCCCGCCCCTGCCAGTGAAGTAACAAGCAGTTTAACCTGGCAGCTTGCTGTGCTGAACCTTCTGCTAAAACGTAACAGACAGAACTTCTATAAACAGCCAGCCTGACTGTATGTGAGTCCCTTAAATTCATTCTTTAGCTTTCAGTACAAACAGACAGGATTATTGTAGGATGGGGAGAGAATTTCCGGTTCTGCAAATGGAAGGGTGTGCTTCCTATTAAATGAACCAACCCTCTGTCCCTCCGCCCCTCCCTCAGTCATTCAACACTTAGAGTGCCCACGGATGGCCAGCGTGGGTAAGGCACACCCAAGAGCAGGAATGGGGTGGGACTCCTTGACGCTTCTGTGTGTCTCTGGCCGTTGGACGACTTAGAGGGGCGCCAACACGGATGAGTTGCTGGGAGCGAAGCCGTCCTTATCAGAGCCACACTGTACCGGGCAGCAGTTCCCTGGAGCGAGGAGGCTATTTTTAAGCAGCAGCGTCGTGTTTCAGCGTGGAAATTCTGAACATCCGAGCAGGCAGCTTGCTGGCTTGCTAATCTTTGGGGTCCTGATGCCAGGGACTGTGTTTGCTCAGCCCTGGACCCCAGCACCTGACCTGGGCCTGCTTGACCTGCAGGACGAGTGGAGAAGGGAGTTCCTCCGGGACAAGTAATTATGTGAGTCCCGTCCGGCTGGTTTCACTTCTGCTGGATGTCTCGCGCGGACGGCCGGGCTGGGTTCCTCCCGCCAGCCTGTGTGTTCGGGGCCGTGAGGTGTTCCTGTTGCAGTGCTCACCAGGGCTTGTAGCTCTCGGGAAATGCCTTTTGGGGGGTGTCTCCGAGTGGCTTTGTTTCGCCAGAGCCGGCCACGTTCCCAGGCGTTCCCTTAGCTTGTGCGCGGGTGGCCGGGCCGCCAGGTGGGGTGGCACTCGGGCCATCGCCTCCAGCTTGTACGCTGGCCCGTGTCCAGGTCACGCCGGGCGAGTCTCCGTCTTTCTGCATCGCCGAAGGGAGCACCGGGGGAGGTAGACTCTGCCCCTTCTCCTTTCCACAGTGCGCGTGGTGTAGGCAGCAACCTGAGCAGCAGGGCTGTTGGACCGGATGGACACGGGTCAGAGCCAGACCCGGCTGAATCGCACATCTCGAACCTGGGGGCTGCACCCACTGTCCTGGGCTTTCTTCCCTCTTCTGTACAGTGCAAAAGTACTAACCATCTTGCCAGTGGAAAGTTGAATTCTGTTTTTTGAAATAAATAATTTGGGCTTGGGGGCAAAGCACCTTTGATTGCGACCCCAGCTTCTTAGGAGCCCCAGTTCTGTTCCCCATCTCCCCCGAGGATGCGCCCCACGGGTGCCCCGTGCCGAAGCTCTCGAGGAAAACGTGGCGAGGAGGGCGTGGCCTTGATGCTGTGGGCCTGTCTTTCCCGCAGGTGCTGTGAGTGGCTGAGATGCTGCGGTGGGGGAGAGCCCAGGCCCCGCACGGTTTGGCTTGGGCACCCCGAGAAGAGGGATCAGAGGTACCCCCGAAATGTCATCAACAATCAGAAGTACAACTTCTTCACCTTTCTTCCTGGGGTACGTATGGGCAGGGGCCACACCCGTTTTTTTCTTCCCACCCCAAATGCATGCAGTGGAGCCGGTCTTAGAAGACTGAGGTCCCCGTGGCAGGTTTTGTGAACACACACTTGTCTTTTCCACACCCCCTTACCGCTGGCGGTGGCTGCTCTCTGTCTGCACAGCTGTGAGACCACCTGATCAGTTAGGTCAACTTCACATTTATTACTTATTTAGTGTGTTGTGCGGAAGAGAGAAAAAGATATTACGGGGACCTGGCATTATAACCGGAAAACCGCAGTGCTTAAATTTCCCCGCATCGTCACGAAACACATATTTAGCTGTAGGAAAGTTGGGGGATAAGAGTATAGAGAAATAATAAAAAAAAAAGATGCATTTTAATCCTTTCACCCAAAGAATTTCTGTGAACATTTTTTGCTCTGCTAACATTTTTGCTGATGACTTTCTGGTTTGCTTGGTGTGTTACTCTGCAGTCATAGCCCTTCCCATTAACTTATACAAATACATGGACAGGGTCTCCTCCAACCTTCCCCCGACGCACGTAAATCAAACTCCGATTTTTATCCACCGTGGCCTCCAGACACTGATCGACTATAGAAGCCGCAGCGGCAGCCAGTTCCAATGCTGGAAAGGAAAAAACGTTACTATCTTCGATTTATTGTGAGATAATACGGAAACACACATACATTATACTGTAGATTAAGGTCCCTTCGAATGCTTTTTTTCTTTTAACCAGAGTCTATACCTTTATTCACAAGGCTCTTTGACCTCTGAATAGGCTAACGATGGAATCCCATTACCTTTTCTTGGTAGTCTACAATTGCTACCTTCTTAATGTTTTAATTGCATAGTTTCAGTTTTTCTTTTTAAAAATTATCTGTATTGTTGAAAGTATTACAGATGTTCTTTTTCCCCCCCATTGACCCCTTCCACCCTGCACACACCCTGAATGATTTTTTAAGGATGATTTTGATTACATTCATTGCTCGCTGTCTCAGCCCTCCCCACCCTTCCCCCAAATCTCAGTAACTTAACTCAAGAAAAACTTTATTTCTTGTTCCTGGGAATTCTGATGCAGACGTGACCACTCTGTTCCCTCTGGGAGCTACGCCTTCTGGAATTCTGGCCACCAGCGTCCCCGTGGCCGGGCCAGAGCAGTGGCCCAGCCATCACTCTTAACCGCCTTAGCCTTGGAGAGACTCGTCATTTTCTTTTCTTTTCTTTTTTAAATATATCTTTATTGATTTCAGAGAGGAAGGGAGAGGGAGCGAGAGATAGAAACATCAGTGATGAGAGAGAATCATTGGTCGGCTGCCTCCTGCACACCCCACACTGGGGATCGAGGCTGCAACCTGGGCATATACCCTGACTGGGAATCGAACTGTGACCTCTTGGTTCACACCCATCCACTGAGCCACGCCGGCCGTGCGAGACTCCTCATTTTCATTCATTGCCCATTGGCCGAGTCGCGTGGTATCAGTCTTCCTGCCGGGGCACCCGGGAGCAGTCAGAGCCGCCAGAACCCACCGCCACCGGGATGGGGTTCTTCTGGATGTATTTTATGGCATTGCGATCACACCGTGGAAATGACAATTTATCTTACTTTAAATTTATAAAAAAACATCTTTTTAAATATCCTGCTTTTTGGATCAATCTGACAGCATAAGCATTTCCCACTAATACTTATTTTTAAAAGCAACATGTTGCGGGGCTTGCCTATACTTACAGAATAGATGGTTTAAGATAGAAAACAGAGCAGACAGTGGAAGCCCTCAGCGTGCCCTCCCCACCCCAGGGGTAACCACGGTCTTGAATTTGGTGTTTACAGTTTCCACATGTATTGCTGTTTACATTTTTACTTAAAAAAATTTTTTTTTTATTGTACAGAGAAGTATTTAAACTTTATGGGAAAGATATCATGTTGTGTTCTTTTGTAGGAAAGTTTTTTTCTTAATCTTTACCTGAGGACATGTTTTTTAAAAATTGATTTAGAGAGAGAGGATGGGAGAGGGAGAAAGAGAGAGAGAGAGACAGACAGACATCGATGTGAGAGAGAAACATTGATCTGTTGTGTCCCGTATGTGCCCTGACTGGGTATCGAACCTGAAACCTTTTGTTGTACGGGATGACGCTCCAACCAACTGAGCCACCGCCAGGGCTGTAGGAAAGTTTTAAAACATTATTCACCTCCCACTCACCCTGCCCAGTCCTATCAGATAAGCCTTGAATGTCTCCTCTCTCTTCTCTCCACATTCCAGGTGCTGTTCAACCAGTTCAAGTACTTTTTCAACCTCTATTTCTTACTCCTCGCCTGCTCGCAGTTTGTACCGGAAATGAGACTTGGTGCGCTCTACACCTACTGGGTCCCCCTGGTGAGTAGCGCGCCCTGTTTGCTCAGTGACCGCAGAGCTTGGGGACAGACAGCTCTTTGTCCCTCTCGCTGTAGCATGTGGAATGGGAGAGTAGCCCTTTCAGGGAGAGGGCACCCTCACGCTAGCACATTGGGCGCCCCCAAGATTATAAGGTTGCAGCTCCGTTTCCTACATCAGCAGGGTCAGACGATAGTGAGTTCTGAGCCGTTCCTTCCTTCTGTCACTCTGCTCCTCCGTCATTCATCGTCTCAGCAAACAGAGTGGCAAACGAGGGAGACCAAGCCCCGGTCTCTGTGGACTGTGCTGTCTGAATTGTTTTCTGAGACCCCATGTTCTACTTACTCTGTGTATACTATTTAGGGGGAGGGTTTAAAAAAGTGACAGATTCTGTGCTTTCTGTGTACCAATGTGAGAGAACTGACCAGATTGCCCCTCCATTCCTTCCCTTGCCTGCTTTTCTTTCTTCCTTTCCTTTGCCAAATGGTAATTGAGCACCTACTATGTGCCAGGCACTGTGCTGGGTGCTGGGGGTGCAGCGATGAACAAAACATATAAATTCCTGCCCTCATGGAGTTGCTTTTCAGAGGGATAGACAATAAACAGATTAATAAAGTTGTTTCAAATTGTGGGAAGGTCTGTGAGGGTAACAGAATAAGGTCATAGGACAGGCGGGGTATCCCAGGCTCCTGGAGTGTTTGCTGAATGGATGAAGGTGAGGCTGGGAGCTGTGGAGGGGCAGACTAGCCAGGATGTTCATGAAAGCCTCTTGAGGAGGTGATGGGAAGGAGAATAGGAGGGTGGGAGGACTCTGGGCAGACAGCAGCCGTGCAAAGGCCCTGTGGTAGACAGGAGCTCAGAGGACTTGGAGAACAGAAAGCGGCTCAGCATGACTGGCACTGGAAGGGCAGAGCTGACGTCTTTTTCTACAGAGACATTATGAAATGTGATTGCTGTCTATTTCTGTCTAAGCTGGACTCGGGGGGAACACTTAGATTTTCTTTTCACAAACATGGTTAAATTTTTTAAAAAATATATTTATTGATTTCAGACAGGAAGGGAGAGGAGAGAGAGAGAGAGAGAAACATCAATGGTGAGAGAGAACCATTGATTGGCTGCTTCCTGCACGCCTCCTACTGGTGATTGAGCCTGCAACCCGGGCATGTGCCCTTGACTGGAATCAAACTCAGGATCCTTCAGTCCGCAGGTTGATGCTCTATCCAAATTGAGCCAAACTGGCCAGGGCTAAATTTTTAATTGGAAGAAGATTTGTTTTAAAATTGATATTTAGAGAGAGAGAGAGGGGAAAGGGGAAAGAGAGAGGAACTTTGATTTGTTGTTCCATATACAAGAAACAACCAGTGAATGCATAAATAAGTGGAACAACAAATGTATGTTTCTCTCTCCCTTCCTCTTTTTCTCTAAAAATTAATAAATAAAGAAAATTTTAAAAAGATATACACAGTTCTGAGTAATTTTTCTTTCTAATCTTCAGCATCTCTTCTTCTTGACTTTGGAACATTGACAACTCACTAAAACAATGTGAGAGCACTGTGTGAATTGGACACACTGCCCGGTGCTCCGCTAGAAGTTGTAGGAGTTCCTTAGGACCTCGGGTGGGTGGCTTTGTGCTCAGGGCACCCCACTGGGGCGTGGGATGCTCCAGACCCTACCTCTCAAGTCTGTGTATTGGTTTCTTTGCAAACCCAGATATGCTGCTCTCTACTGCCTCCCAAGGGGCTTCTGTTCATTTTTCTTTTCCTTTTTCAATTACAAAGGGACTCTTTATTATTGGAAAAAAATTTGAAGAACAACTGGGGGAAAAACCCCACACAAATGCCCCTGTGCAGCCGCCCCCGAGATACCCCATTTATGTTTCTGGTCGATTTCCTTTTCGTCTCTTACATGTGCCTGTGTTTTATGCACACTCTAACATACAGTGTAGTAAATTCTGTATGTTATGTAAGTGCATATGTTTTGTAAGTTGGGATCCCAAGTGCTCACGAAGATAGCTAGCTGTGTGTCTCCCCTCCTCCCTGCCTCTTGCACCTCAAGCGTGATATCTGACCTGGCACGTGTCCTCGTTCTTCACGGTACCCGTCTGCCCAGCCTGTGGTATAAACCCATCATCTGACAGGTTCTGGGGTACAGATCTGTTCACACCCCCACTGCCTCCTCTACCTTATCTTGGCATCTATGGTGGGGAGGGGACGTCAGCCACATTGGGAATAAGCTTTTCATTCTCTTAACCAGATTCATGTAGATACGACTAAGGGGGGGATGGATTTAACAGGAATTCACACGCCTGAGAAAGTTGGTGGGAATGAGATCAGCTCTGTTGAATTCTCCCAGAGGCGGTCAGCGAGGGTCCTGTGGGCTGGAGGCGAAGCGTGCTGCTGGGGGGAAGGATTCCCCGCTTGATAAGGGAGAACTGAGGGGCCAAGGAGACTGGGGAAGTCGCTTGAGGTCGTGGTCGGATGTGAAGGGTTTCGGTCTCACAGCGACGGAGCTCCCTCCCTTTCTCCAAGGAACGGTCTTGGGATGTCAGAAGGGCTCTGGGCTGCACGGGAGGCCGTGTGTACAGGGAGATTCTTTGCGGCTTGTTGCGTATAATGAAAAATTGGAAACAAACACTTGTCCATTGGTAGTTACCCACATGCTGGTGGAGCTGAGCTCCGGGTGCTGCCCAGGAGTGAGAAGCCGGGAAGTCACTCCACGGGTGCTGACCCGGGAGGGTGTGACTCATGTTTTTCTTGACGTGGAAAAAGCAAGTTGTAGAACAACATGGACCGTATGTTCCAATTTTTATGACCAAATACAGGGGTGGGCAAAAGTAGGTTTACCGTTGTGAGTACCCAAAACAGAGTTTATTCTTGTGTTATTATTTATTAATTAGTGTATATTTATTTGTATTGCAACTGGGGTGAGGCCAGAGGGCTGGGGGAGTGGTGGGGGCTGGGGTGACCTGGCGGGCTCCCACCCCTTCCAGTCCCTGTCTCCTCGCTGAAATGTCCCTGGGATTTTCCAGGAGAAGCCAGAGACCTGATTTTCAGTGTAAGCCACTGACCCCTGGTTTTCCTGGGACCCGGCCTCAGCTAGAAGCCGGCAGGTTGACGGCAGCCTCGGGCCATGCTGAGCTTTCTTACTGCATCAGGGCCCCTGGGACGGCTCAGGACGCAGAGGGGATGGTTGTCTTGTAGAAGTCCTGGCTTTCTTTCTGGGGCCTGCAGAGCAGGGAGTTTGGGGTCAAAGAAGAATTGGACACCATCTATTTCTAGGAGACTGTAGCCGACTTCCCTGAAAGGCCCTAGACCAGGGGTGGGCAAACTTTTTGACTCGAGGGCCACAATGGGTTCTTAAACTGGACCGGAGGGCGGGAACAAAAGCATGGATGGAGTGTTTGTGTGAACTAATATAAATTCAAAGTAAACATCATTACATAAAAGGGTCTTTTTTTTTTTTTTTAGTTTTATTCATTTCAAACGGGCCGAATCCGCGCTGCGGGCCGTAGTTTGCCCACGGCTGCCCTAGATGTTTGTGCAGGGAATCAACGTGCAGTTCTTGGCTAGAACACATTTTGAAATGTCTCTGACCATCCTGAAAGTCCCGGCATTTCAAACCCAGGTAGGAGCGCAGTGGCTCAGCGTGAGGGCTGTGGAGCGCGTGGTTGAGTGCAGGCCTTGGCTGCACTTTGATGAGAAGTTGTGTCATCTGAACAAACTGCTGAGCCTCAGTTTCCACATCTGTAAAACGGGTGACCAGGTCTATTTCCTTGGCTTGTTGGGAGGATTACATGAAATAACAACACGGAAAATGCTTCCGATAGCTCCTGGCATATAGAAAATAGTCTCATTTTAATTTTTAAAACCTGCGCTAGTGACACTGTTGTTCACTGTCTGGATTAAGTTTTAGTTTTTAATACTTTTTTTCTTGGTACTAATATAGTAGAGGAAGAATTTCTTCAGGAGATAGCAGAAATAGCCCGTAACATTGTATGAAGTGCAAGTAATAAATCTAGATTTTTTTGTTATTAAGATATAGTTTATACACCATAAAATGCACAGACACGGCCCAGCTGGCGTAGCTCAGTGGTTGAGCGTGGACCTATGAATCAGGCAGTCACGGTTCAATTCCTGGTCAAGGCACATGCCTGGGTCGTGGATTCGATCCCCAGTGTGGGGCGTGCAGGAGGCAGCCGATTCATGATTCTCTCTCATCATGGATGTTTCTCTCTCTGTCTCCTCTCCCTTCCTCTCTGAAATCAGTAAAAAAATATATATATATACACATATATATTTTAAAAAATGCACAGTCACTGAGTTTCTGATTCAGTGAGTGTTGACCTTCATCAACACCCGTGTAAACGCCACCTCAGTAAGACAAGAACACTTCCATCGCTCCGGAAAGTTCCCAGTGCCCCTTTCCTGCCAACCCCTCCCCCGCCAGAGGCAGCTGCTTTTCTGAATTCTATCTCTTTCAGGCAGTTTTGTTTTCGAAAATCGACTTTCGATGTTCCACATCACCACAGAGCCTTACTGACACCTTCACAGTGGCTCTCTGTGCGCTGCCATGGCCTGCGTTTCTCTACAAGCTCAGCGGGGGCCCGACAGCCCGGGCCCACTTTCAGACCTCTTTCTAGATGTCTGTGGATGTGCAGGGCCTCCGAAGTTGGACGGCCGGAGTTTATTTCTGGACCACATTTGCATCTCTTTGTAAATACATTTCTAGCCCAGGGAACGGCGTGTCCTCCAGAATTAATGAGAACTGTGTTTGGGGGCGGGGAAGGGCAGGTCGGATGAACTTGGGAGGCCGTGTTCATTGGCGGCAGGGAGGCTGCAGCTTCTGTCTTTACTTATTTATTTATTTTTTTAATCCTCGCCCGAGGATGTTTTTCCGTTGATTTTTAGAGAGCGGGGAAAGGAGGGGAAGAGACAGAGAGAGAGATACATCGATGTGAGAGAGACACGTCGATTGGTTGCCTCCTGCATGTGGGGATCCAGCCGCAACCCGCACACGCCCTTGCCTGGAATTGAACCCGGGACCCTTCAGTCCGCAGGCTGATGCTTCTATCCACTGAGTCAAACTGGCTAGGGCACAGCTTCTGTCTGCATGAGCACACACTCCCACTGTCATCCATGGGATTCAGCCAGGCCCACGCAGGGCAAAGAGAAACCAGAACATTTGAAGAAAACAAACAACAACAAAAACCTGGCCTCTGGCCCAGAACAACAAAACTGCAGCGTGAGTGGGGGGAGGAGGGAGGGGAGGGGGGAGGGGGGAGGAGGGGCTCTGCAGACCGGGCCTGTGGTGCCGGAACAAGCTTCCTCTCCTCCATAGGAGGTCTGCAGGTCTGCGTATGCTTTTGTTCTGAAATGGGCCCGTTCTTCACATCTGATGGGCAGCAGAAGGCAGGAGGAGTCCTGTGATTGTAAAATATCTGGGGCTTTGGAGGAGGTTCTCAAAGCAGCGCCTCTCTGGCTAGATTTACATAAGGGATCCGAATCAAAGTTAATGTATTTCACAGGGTCAACAGCATGAAAATGAAGTCAGCAAGCAGTCCCTACTGCTACCCTCCATGGGAAGCTTGCTGTCTGTGTTTTTAAAAAGTGATTTTAAAAGGAGGGATGATAAGGGCATCTTGTAAGAAAAATGAATGAGGCCCTGGCCGGGTAGCTCAGCTGGTTAGAGCAGTGTCCTGATACTCCGAGGTTTTGGGTTTGATCCCGGGTCAGGGCACACACAAGAAGCAACCAGTGAATGCATCAATAAGTGGAACAGGAAACCCTTGTTTCTTTCCCACTCTTTTCTCTGTACCTCTCTCTCTAAAAAAAAAATCAATAAAATAAAAAAAATTATATTTAAAAGAAAAAAGAAAAATGGATGAAGGTTCTTGCCTTTGTGGATTCAAGAGGAAAACTGGATGGAAATAGGTCCATGCTGTGGACGACACACACCAGTCTCCCCCAGAGTGTGTGAGTTGGGGTGCCTGGCTCAGGAAGATCAGACAGGTTTACATTTCCTTTTTATTAGCTGGTACTTACACTGTGAATGCTTCATAATGTTTCTTTATAAAAATTTAGGACATTACAGACATCCTGCAGTCCAGCCCACTCCATCCGTGTCCCTCTTACCAGAGGAATCTAACCAATAGTTAAGGAAATGGGAAAGCCTTTCTTTTAAAAAAAAAGTTTTTTTTTTTATTTTTTGGAGAGAGAGGAAGGGAGAGGGGGAGAGAAACATCAATCGGTTGCCTCCCATACATACCCCGACTGAGGGTTGAACTTGCAGCCTGGGTATGTGCCCTGACCAGGAATTGAACCAGCAACTTTTCATTGCATGGGATGATGCCCAACCAGCTGAGCCACACCGGCCAGGGCAGAAAGTCTTTCCCAGTGTATGGAATCTTCGTTATTTCTGTGAACGGTGTTCCATTTTATGTTCTGAAAGATTGATTTTCCCGCTGACCCCGTCCATGCAAGCAGCAGGTATCTCACTCTTTTTAGCTCCTGCTGGAGGTCCATCTCCTTGGCTCCGCCCACCGGAGTTTCTCTAGATGCAGAACAATGTGGCTGTTAAGATCTCAAGCCAGATTTCCTGTGTTCAAAATTTCTGCTTATCTATAATAATACAAGGGTAATATGCTAATTAGACCGGATATCTTCCGGACATCCTTCCTGAAAAAGACGGGGCTAGAGGGAAGCCAGCTGGTTCCCAGGTGCCTGCCAGCAGCTGGAGGAGGGAAGCCAGGGTCCCAGGTGCTGGAGAGAAGCTGGTGCCAGCAGCCAGAGGAAGGAAGGCCTACTCTTGCACGAATTTTTGTGCATCGGGCCTCTAGTATATCTATATATATAAAAGCCTAAGCAACCATTACGACTGGACGACCAGCCGGTAGCTATGATGCGCACTGACCACCAGGGGGCAGACGCTCAACGCAGGAGCTACCCCCTGGTAGTCAGTGCACTCCCACAGCCAACCTCCTGTGGCCGGCCAACCTCCTGCAGTCCCTCCCCCGATCTGGCCGGCCCTATTGGGATTGGGCAAGACAACTCAATTGGCCGATCACCAGCCAAACCAAGGGACCCCACCCATGCATGAATTCGTGCACCAAGCCTCTAGTGTGTGTGTGTGTGTGTGTGTGTGTGTGTGTGTGCAGTATATAAAATTCCTAAGAGTTTTATTATTCAACCTCTTTGTGCCTCAGTTTCCTGATCTGTAGCACAGTGATCTCGTATGGTGAATCTGTACATAGGGTGGTTGTGAGGGTGGAATGCACTAATGGGAGGAAAGCACTTCAAGGGAGCCCAGCACATGGCGAGCGAGATTCAGATGTTAGTGGTCACCCTCCTTCAGCCATTGTCTGTGGATGGACAGTGTGGGTGTTTCGACACATCTTACTCTCAGAAACCCTGAGACTAGGAGGTGGTGAATAGGGCTGTCCTTGTGCATGTGTGTTGACGAGTGTTCCTCCAGGGTGTGTGTGTAGGAGACCCTCGGAGAAGCGGGTTTGCTGGGCATGTGCATTTGGGACCCTTAGCGGGTCCTGCCCTGCTGCCCTCCAGCCTTTTCTGTCCCTAGCCCCAGGAGAGGAAGGTGGGTTCCAGCAGGGCTCACTCTGTCCTCTCTCTCTGCAGGGCTTTGTGCTGGCCGTCACCATCATCCGAGAGGCGGTGGAGGAAATCCGATGCTACCTGCGGGACAAGGAAGTCAACTCCCAGGTCTACAGCCGGCTCACAGTGAGAGGTCAGCCGGGGCTCCCCTGGGGCCGCCTCCTGCAGCCCGGCCTGGGCTGCAGGGCTGCAGCTCAATCATCGGTCGCTGACAGTCAGGGAGCAGAGTTCAAGGCCTGGGGCTGGCGGGGGTGTGGGCGCCGCGTGGCAGGACAGCCACTCAGTTGCTGGTACCAGGGAGGCCGGCATGTCCCCCGGGGCTCGGGGAGATGCGGGCTGCATCCCCAGGTGGCCAGGCTCTCTTAGAGGGGGTCCTGTGGCCTAACTTGCGCATCCTCAACCTGGAATTGAATTCTGTGCATTTGGCATCCTCGGCCCGCTAGTTCCTTACCCTTATGGGGTCTGGCTGCAGAGGGGAGCTGGGAACTTGGCCCTACATCCGTTTCCAAAGGAGCCACAGCTTTAAAAGCCACTCTTTCAACACCACAAAACCAATGTTACAACTGTGCGGCATTGGTTTCTGTTAATATATTTATTTGTATACTTTTACATTGACTGTTTGTGGACATACAAGATGAGCCACATTCGTTTTCTTAAAAGGCATCAGAGTTACGTAAATACTGCATCTGTGAAGACGTCTTTACTGGCATCTCCTCAGTCCTTAGAACGAAGGGGGGAGAGCCCGTAGTCTGACCCAGAGAGAATGGGACTAGCCTTCAGTCGTTAGCCCCGGGCCAGACACGAGCGTGTTAAATGGTGGGATTTAAAACCCACCCCAAGCCCCACAAAACTACCCGCCAAGGTTGACTTCCACTTCCCACTCCCCGTCCTAGAGTAGATTTCCTGTGAGGCTGTGTTCAGAAAGGAGAGAAAGTTCCTGTCTGCAGTCCCCTAAGAGGACTGATCCCATTCAGGGATTAATACTGTTTTAGGAGAGGCTGGAGGCAGTGGGAGCTGTGCCTGCCTGCAGGAAAGGGGGGATTCTGAAAGAGACAAGACAAGTGCTGGAGGAGCTGGTCCCCGGGCCTGGCATGAACTGCTGTTGTTCAGCGCTTTAGTCTTCCACGGTTCCCGGATTTTCAGTAGAATTTTCCTTTTGGGAAAAATGTCAGAGGAATATATTTTGGCCTCCCCCACCCCGCCCCCCCCTCCGCTCCCCCGACCCTCCAAAAAAAAAACATTGAAATTTTGACAAAATTCCTTGAGGGCATGGAAATGTGTTTGTTTTAGTGCATTGAATAGATTTTCATAGTTGGTGGTCTTAAAAATTTGCAAGTCTCTGGGAGAAGGGGGACTTTAGAGCGGGTATAGAAATACGTGTTTTGTTATTGCTAAACCACTGCATTTAGGACATTTTGCAAACTAAAGAATAAGAACCCAGTATAATCTTTGCAAAGGCAGGTGGCTTGGGGGTTCCACGTGGGTAATCAGAAGACCCCTCTGGGGAGGCGTTTTGTGTGGTTTGTGTATATGAAACCCTCCCTTAATAACATATTCTGACGATGACATTTGCAATGCTTGGCAACCGACAAAAGCCCCGGCCGGCGGAGAGGGCCGCTGGGTCTGCTTAGAGGAGGGCCTTTGGGAGGCCTTCCATTCATCTGTCCAGCGCCCGCCCGCCCGCCAGCCCTTCTTTGGTTCTTTTCATATTGCAATTGCTTTTCCTGGCGTGGTTTTCGTGCCCTCCCCTGCAGGCCCCTCTCAGCTGCCGCTACCATCCCCTCCGTCCTTGCAAAGGCCCTAAAGAGAATTGGCAGATGGCTCCAGCAGTAAAAACTTGTCTTCCTTTGTCGGCCTCCTTTTGGGACCCACGGTTCCCATTGTCATGCCAATTCGACAGGAGAAGCCCAGGAGCCGGGCTCTGAATATTAACCCAGGCCCTCGCCCTGGCCCTGCGGTTTGTTTTGAAAGCCCCAAAACGGGCGCCGAAAAACTGTCAGCCAGGGACGTGATGGAGGTGAGTTTAGTTATTTGATCCACTTTGAGGGGGAAGGGCCAGAGAGAAAAGCCCAAGCAGAAGGCTTCAGAGGGAGGAAGAGAAAGAAGCCTTTTTTGACCTTACCGCACTATTTGATGACTCAATAATATTTTCTTGAGTGAGACATTTCACCAAGAATTCAATGAAGCTCAAAAGCGAGATGAAGCAAATAGGGACTTCTATGTCCACGCAGGACTGTTTTCTTTTTTTGATCACAGGACAACTTAAAATGGACTTTTCAACACTACTTCTGGAGTTCAGAAATGCTAGAAACCAGAATATCAAGTCCGCGACCACTAGATGGTAGGCCATGAGCTTTCCCTGCGTTCAGCATCATTTCCTGGCCAAGAAAACGGCGCTTGGACTAAATAAGATAAACATTTGGGGGTAATAATGTCTATCTAGCAAAAAGCTGCAGACGTCCTGCAGGGAACTCTTGCAAGCCTGTCACCCCGGTTCCTCAGTGGTCAGCGTGTTGCTAGTCTCTCTCTGTCTTAGCCACTAGAGATTAAGGTGAGGATATCATTCCTTTTGCCCCTCAACACTTCAGTGTTTAATTCCTAAGAGGACAGTTCTCTTACATAACACAGTGCAATGAGCCAAATCAGGAAATTTAACATTGAGGCATTACTATTAATCAGATCTAGAATCCTTTCTCAAAATTGGCCATTTGTCCCTGAAATGTCCTTTAATAGCATTTAAAAAAAATTTAATTTTTAGAGAGGAAGGGAGAGAGAGAGAGAGAGAGAGAGAGAGAGCGAGCGAAAGAGAGAAAAACATCGATTTGTTGTTTATACACTCATTGGTTGATTCTTGTATGTGCCCTGACTGGGGATCAAACCCGTAACCTTGGCATATTGGGGTGACACTAGTCAGCTGAGCTACCCGGCCAGAGCTGCAGCATTTTTTTTCTTGGTCCAAGAACCAATCCAGGGTTGCCAGTTGCGTTTAGCTGCCCTCTCTCTCTCCTTCACCCCTCCAACCTGGCATAGCTCTATGACGTTGGCGTTTTTGAGAAGGACCAGGCCAGTTTTAGGCCAGTTACTTCGCAGCTTGTCCCTCAACTTGTGTTTGATGTCTCAAAGTTAGATTCGTGCATTTTGGCAGGAATTAATATAGTTTTAAGAATGTCAGTGGCACAGACTCTAAGTCAGGATGTTGCCAAAGTTTTAGAGGCATTATGTTAATCAAACTGAAAAACTTGAAAACTTTGAGGAAAAAGCATTCTATTTTGAACAGCTGAACTAAAAGCCCTGATAATAATGAGGAATTCTCCATCAGAGGGAAGTTACTTTAAAAAAATTTTTTTATGGATTTCAGAGAGGAAGGGAGGGGGAGAGAGAGATAGAAACATCAATGATGAGAGAGAATCATTGATTGGCTGCCTCCTGCATGCCCCACACTGAGGATCAAGCTCACAACCCGGCCATGTGCCCTTCACCAGAATTGAACCTGGGACCCTTCAGTCCGTAGATCAACGCTTTATCCACCGAGCCAAACCAGAAAGGGTGGAAGTTACTTTTTTTTTTTTTTTAATAGCTGCTTCCAACACTATTTTTTTCCAGATTATATATGGCTAATATGTAAAGTGTCCCCACGGGAGTTCAACCAGGAGGCCGGGAGTTCTGTTGCTCGCTATGATGTATGTTGACCACCAGGGGGTGGTGCAGAGCGAAGGAAGGCCCCGGCTGGCAGCTGGAACGCCCTGATTAGCCCTGATGGCAGCCAGGCCTAGGGACCATACCCGTGCACGAATTTTGTGCACTGGGCCTCTAGTATTCCTATAAAACAACAAAAAGGTAATAAAAATACCTGAAGTATATGAAACATCACAGAAAAAATATACAAATGGTGAATATACATATGAAAGGATCTCAGGCTGCTTCCATTTTAGATTCTCCTATTTCATTCAATGTGTACCTAAAACAACAGACCAATTTGATTCATTTTTAATGTAATTGTCATGGTCTAATGAGTATTTGAAGTATTTTATTAATATAATTAGCCATATAAAAGGGAGTGACCTTTTATTCATTCTTTTAAGAATATATGAGACTCCATTTTGTCCAAAATCTACAATAGGTTTCTGTTTTATTATGAAAATTGGAGAGCTTTTATTAGTTGCTGCAGTGGTTTGGATTGTTTATTCACTTATGAATTCCATTACTTTTTTGGGGGAAAAAAAATAGTGAGATCTGATGGAATTTTCTCTCTGCTGTATAAAGTATTTCTAAAGATTAACTATTGGGATTTTAATTTATTTTCTTTAACTTTAATATACGTAATCTACAATAGATTTCTGTTTTACAAAAATAAACATAGGGGCTGGGCTTAGGGAATTCATGGTCCAGTGAGGTATCCAGGCATATAAGTCGATAACTTTAAGAAGCTAACTAAAAAGAACTTATATGCTTATTTGCATTGCCCATGAATACAGACAGTAGGGTGGTGAAGGCCAGGGGCTGGGTGGGTACCAGGTGGTGGGTGGGGGGCAAGGAGGCAAAAAAGGGAGAGACATTTATAATACCCTCAACAATAAAGATAAAATAGAATAAAAAAGCTAACTAATAATTATACTTTATGGGTATGAATGTGGGGCCCTTATGAGGAAGGTCCCCTTCTGGAACACTGTACTCCTGGTTCTGAGCTTGTACTGGATTCAGAACTCGGCATCCACCTCCTCCCTGCTGTGTGGGCAGATCCCTTAACCTGCCAGTAATTGGAGGTGATAGTAGTACCTCCTGCCTAAGAGTTGCTTAAATATAACTCCTACATGGGAAGAACGTAGGACTGTGCCTGCGATTGGATGTGTGCTCAAGAAAGGCAGTGCTGGTGGTATTGCAGCAAGGGTTCATTAAGTGTTGGTGGATGAATCAATGGAGGTATTAGCCAAGGGTGATGGAGGTTGTGGGAGTCCGTCAGAGAGGAGTTGATGATGTCTTCCAAAAGAAATAACCTTCATCCTGAGTCTCACAGGATAGGAGAGAGCAGGACTGGCTACATTAAAAAATGAACCTGTGATGATGAGGCCCTTGTTCAAAAATTATTAAGATTTTCAAAATGGTGACGGTAGATCACTAAACCAAGTAAGGGGC